CTCTCTCTCTCTCTCTCTCTGTCCTCATCCCCTTCCCTCTCTTCCTGTTTGCCCCTCCAGGACCATTTTCTCTTTATTGTTTTATGACTTTCTCGTCGTCTTCCTGTCAGTGTTTCTTTCCTTTCTGTCTCCCATGCCCGTCACCTGCAGAAAGTGATCTTTCCGAGACAGGACGATGTGCTCATCTCCTTCCTGCCTCTGGCTCACATGTTTGAGAGAGTCATCCAGGTAAGACGCTCGCCCGACTGACCGGGCCTTGCCGGGGCTCCTTCTGTTCTCTTGCAGAGTCAGTGGGCTCCCACTTGTGCGGATGTGCACATTTGCTATTTGCCTTTAGCACACATGTTTGAGCGAATGGTGCAGGTAAGGCCCCGGCGTCAGGGAGGCACGACCTGCGCCTAGAACCCGTAGCCCTAGCACGGTGTCACTTGTCACTGGTGGCGTGGAGTAGGACCCCACTGCCCCGTCCTCAGAAGGTACCACGGGGGTCAGAGGGGTCAGAGGACTTGGCCGCCCCACCTGTCCCTCCTGGGAGCGTTGCTCCAGGGAAGACCCCGGCCTGCCCCGTCGTACCCACGGACACCCCTCAGCTGAGGGAGACCCCGGCCGACGGCATCGAGAGCACTGCAGCTCTGCAGAGGTGCTTTGCCGTTCGAGCTCTGTGCAGTGCAGCTCCACGTATGGCCCCAAAACGTGTAACTTTCATAACTCATGAATTCCTAAAAAAACCACAACAGTAAAGTTGGGAAATCAAGCTGTCCCAGCTCCTCAAGCCGTAGATGGGGACTGGCCTTAGAGTGGTCCCAAGACAGGCCTTGTGGGGGTGAGGAGGGAACAGGGGAAGGAATCGCTACGTGATTCCAGGAACAAAGAATGCCCCGTGCTGCGTCACTCAAAGGACCAGCCTGTGGATAAACTGCGTCTTCTAAGCCTTTCCGGTTTTGCCCTGGGGTGGGTCTCGTACAGCGGGACCTGCTTTCCAGACCTGGCCTAGAACGCCGGCAATTACTACTGACTGGTTTTGTGACCCTGGGAAAGTCACTGTACCTCTCTGAACTTTGCATTCCTCACCTGTAGAATGGGAACTGGAGTACTACCTGCCCTGGAGGGCGGCTATGAGTATTAAAGGAAGGAGCATATATATGGCCCCTGGGACAGTCCTAGTCCCTTTAGGAACCAGCCAGGCTCCCCCGTGGCCACCCACCAAACTACCCACAGCCAACTTCAGCATCTCCAGGACCCACGGGGCCTGTGCACCCTTCAGAGTCGCCAGGGTGTCCCTGGGGAAATCCAAAGACTCTGAGGCCCGGAGCAGACCCACCGACAGAGTGTGACACGTCTCAGAGACCCGGGTCCCCGAGGGGGCCCACGACTGAGGCTTGGGAGTGGCATGAGAGGGCAGGTGCCAGTGAGAACGGCCGCTGTGGCATCTCCCAAAGGCTCGGGATTCCACTCTGTCTCCTGCCTCTTTGCCCCGTGCCTGAGTGGGACTCGGGGAAGGGGGTCTTGGGCGGCTCGCCCCAGACAGTGTCTTCTGTGTCTCATGGGGGCAGCCAGAGCTGGGTCGGGGGTCGTGGGTGCCCTCCATGCAGGGCAGCACTTGGACAGGTCTGGACCGCAGCCAGGGCCGACCACCCTGACGGGCTCCTCCCTCCTGTCCTTTCCCCCCAGTCTGTCGTCTACTGCCACGGAGGGCGCGTTGGCTTCTTCCAGGGGGACATCCGCCTCCTCTCGGACGACATGCAGGCTCTCCGCCCCACCATCTTCCCTGTGGTCCCTCGACTGCTGAACCGGATGTACGACAAGGTGAGCCCCGCGAGGAGTCTCTGGCCGGGCTGGGGGCTGCGTGTCTGCTGACGTGGCGGGTCTGGGCCCCGCGCAGGCTTTGCACACCTCCGTCCCAGGTCCTGGAAGGTGCCTCCACTCTTGGATTCCCTGACTTTTTCTCACTCTGCCTTTTCCTCTTTTCTTCCTATTCTTCAAAACCCTGGTTGGGAAGACAGTTTTTTTCCAGAACTTCCATCTCCACAACATGGCTGGACCCTGCCGGTGTTAACTTTGAGCTCGATGCCGCGCGTTCGGTGGCCTCCTGCAGGGCTGGGGTGGAGGGTGGCTTCTCCGCGGATGAGCCTGAGCCTTCTTCCCGGGGATGCGTCTCGAGGTGAGATGTTCAGGCCCAAGAGCCATTTCCAACTCGTGTTCCTCAGATCTTCAGCCGGGCAAACACGCCGCTGAAGCGCTGGGTGCTGGAGTTCGCCGCGAAGCGTAAGCAGGCTGAGGTCCGCAGTGGAGTCATCAGGAACGACAGCATCTGGGACGAGCTCTTCTTCAACAAGATCCAGGTAGGAAAACAAATGAGTGATTGTCAGGTGACACCCAAGTGTCCAGGGGGTGACTTTCCACCTTATAGGAGACCTGGAGACGTTCGTCTCAGCAGCCCACAGCTTGTGAAATGAGAACTCATTTGCTTGTGAAATCAAAGCTTGAGCTGGCATGGAAACTCTGAAGTAGTCATTTTCGACCTTTGGAGATGTGTTATGCTTGCCAAAAGGCAGCCAGCAAGAAGGACCCTTGGATGTAGGTCCCTTGATCTCCAGGGGCATCAGGGTGGCTGTTCCAGTGGGGGGTCAGGTCAGTGCCCCCCAGAGGAGCTCCGGGGCCTGGAGGTTCTCTCACCCCTCCCCGTGAGCCAGGCCGTGGCGGCCGTCCAACAGCGGGAGGTTCTAGCTCTACGGTGAGGAATCTTCTTTTCCCTTCCTGTGACCTGTCCCTTCACCTCTCCCAAACCAGGCCAGTTGTGAATTACTCATTTCTGTGCCTCCACTAACATTTTCAAGCTCTGCGTTACCCAAGGAATCTGTAGTGGATTAGTAGCATTACTCATTTTTTTCTTGCTACTTTATTTTTAGGTATGAAAATTAATATTTAAACTCTCTGGGCTCAACTTACAGAAACGAAGTGTTCCAAGTATTCTTTGTCCCCTGCAGGGCATAGTAAATCACGGTATTGATTTATAAATGAGAAAACGCAATGCCATTAAAATGGCAGTGGGGAGAAATTGTTCTAAGTAATTGTTTTGGATGCTTTTAAATGACGGGAGAGTGAGGGAGCAGCCGTGTATTTTAAGGGAGAACCAATACAGAATGCCGCGCAGACTACTGGCACTTATCTCAAAAGCCATAAAAGAGTTGTTCCTGTGTTAAGTTGAGTTGCAGGGCCGATTCGATTTATCATCTGGAAGGGGAAGGAGCTTCCTCAGCTCATAAGGCCTGATTTCAGATCCCAGCCGTTACATCTGGGCTGGGTCCAGTTGTGGAACGTCGACCTTGGCCGGGGCCAGGTGGCCAGACGCCATCGAAGGCATCACAGACTCTGGCAGGTTCTTCTCTCTTCCCACAGGCCAGTCTTGGGGGGTGTGTGCGGATGATCGTCACGGGGGCCGCCCCGGCATCACCCACAGTCCTGGGATTCCTCCGGGCAGCTCTGGGGTGCCAGGTATGGTCACTGTGTGGCCTTCCCCGCGGGGAGTGGGAGGTGTGTGAGGGCAGGAAAACTACCTACCCTTTGTAGCACAGAGAAAGATCCTGCGGGCAAGAATTTTGTGGGATGAAAGCTCCCTCCTCTGAGGATAGAAAAAGCCCAGAGCCAGCGAAAGCCGGCTGGCTTTGCCACATTCCGGAAAGCCCAGGTGTATCTGCTCTGAGAAATTCCTTTGCCTGGGCCCTCGGAAGTTCTTAGCAAAGGGAAAGGGATCAGATAAGCTATATACAGATTGTCAACGTGTGTAAGAATCCGTACCCCACCTACACTGCACCTCTGCCTCCTCCAGCCGACGAAGTATCTCCCAACCCGGTGAGGGAGGACCGGGGAGGGGAGGAGAGCCCACTTGTGTGTCGTGATTTGCTTCATCAGGTTCTGTCTTCTCCAAAAGTTCATTTCTTCATTTTTCCATTCAATTAATATTTATTAAGTTCCTGCACATGCAGGGCACCATACCATTGTTGTAGCTGGTGGATTTTATGTAGAGTAGACGTGTCTGTTTCATAATTGTGCACACTTACATTTTTATGCTTTGGAAGCCATGAGCTTCTTACATCGCTCCCCCATTTCACACCGACGTGGCCTGATCGTTCCTATAGGCAGACCCTCCCCCAAATAGGCAGCGAGCCCCGTTGTTTGGATTTATGCAAACAAGTGTGGCTCTGGAGAGGAACATCTTACAGAGACAAAACAAAACATATATTGGATTTTTAAATGTTTATCTTTAATATATATTTTCCATATGAAAAATAGATCCAATAGTTCAAAATAGGCCAGAAATCTTTGCCTCAGACTGTATAACCTCATCTATTAAGTGTCAATGGTGAAAATAGCATTTCTTCCGAGCAAGTGTGGCCACGCTTGGTGTCTGTGTCCATCTTCCCCTGGAGTCACCGACCCCCAGAGCAGCCCCCTCCCACCGTCCTCACCGTGGGGCAGCCCGGCGCTCCGCCTAGCTGGCCGGAAAGGAGTGTGTGTGTCCACAGCGCGGTTTTCGTGGTTTGCTTGAAGGTTTACGAAGGTTACGGCCAGACCGAGTGCACAGCTGGATGTACCTTCACCACGCCTGGGGATTGGACCTCAGGTAGGAGGGGCTGGAGATCTGGGACTGGCTCACAGCCCTGCTGAGTAAGGACGGCAGGCTCTAGAACTCCCTCATGGAGCGTAGATTTACGTGGGCACTTAGGAAAAAAGCAAGAGAAATAGAAGGAAAACATTAATGGTGGTTATGTCTGGGTTGCGGCATTATGGGTCTGTTGTTTGCTTTGTCACACGTTTTTTATTTTCCTATTTCTTTTATAGATAAACAGAACTCATATAAAAAAGTAATAGATCACAAGCTACAACTCCAGGTGGAAAAATGCTTACAATATCAGCATATTGGGCTTTATAGATTCTAGATACTACACAGCCTTGCTGACGGTCATTTCAGAATCCAGGAAGCAGGCCGTAAAGGATGTGACTTGTGCAGGAGGGGCGGGTTTGTAGTGGCCAGGGAGCCGTTCCCTAATGAGCCGCTTTAGAGCCCCTTTGGGAGCTCTGGTCTGTGCTGCTCGTGTCTGGAAGGCAGCGGCAACCTCCGAAAGCAGCAGCTCACATCCGCGCCCTCGTTCCGAGGGGATCCGTCCTTCAGGGCAAGGGGGAAGCAAGTAGGTAGTAGCAGGTAGCCCACGGATTAACCATCGCCGAATTTAGACCAGATACTGGAGGAATCGGGAACCACTCAGCAGAAGAATCCTTCAGTATGCCGACCTCCTGTGCGAGCCTGGGCCACGCTTTGTGCTTCAGTTTGCTGAAGTGCAAACTGGAAAATTAGGGCTGATGGGCACGGGAAAGAAATACGCTCCTTAACGCGATACCGTTTTCAGAGGTAGTCAGCAGAAACACGATAGGTGGGTTTTAAACTGAAATCATATTTGTCCAAGCCAAGTACAGAAGCACTTTTTCTTAGTTCTATCTCTTTAACTACAGCTAAATAAAGCCTATTTTGTATATAAATTCTTTGATCACTCTGCCACTTGCAAATCTCCCACAAGAACCCTCTTCGGAGGTCCTGGCTCACCCATTTTTCTTACTGACGCCGCTGTATTGACAGTCGCTGCCCGCTGTCCCCTTCCTGTTGGATACTCTTTCCTCCCTCTTTTATCGTCCTTTAAATTTTCCCATGTAAGACTGTGGAGGTTTTGCCTTTTTCATTCATCCTTACCATAAAAACTTGAAAAGGCTGTTGGGCATCAGACGGTGTGTATCTTTGTGCGATATTTTTAAAGGTTTGGCAGCTTTACAGCCTTGTTGCCCACACACGGCTCGCTGTTCTATCAGGACCTTGGCCAGCACCTGCCCCCAAACCCTCCAGCCTGCCAGTGAATTATGGAGCAGCCACAAACAATGACTAGAACGTGACTTAGATGCAATTTTGTGGTAGATTTAACCAAGAGAATTCGGAGTTTTGTTTTCTGAGGGCGAGTTACTTCATCCTGGTTTTCCATCCCTTGTCACTCAAGGTGTGGTGAGTGTCCCCAGCAGCAGCGGGTCACCTCGGTGCCCGTGAGGATCGTAGAATCCCACTGAACCGGAATCTGTAATTTAGTGAGATTGTGGATGGTTCCTGTGCACATTAGTCGACAGTCTGGGGACTAGAGGAAGAGCAACGATTGCCGTATTTTACGATCTCCAAACCAAGACTCGTGATCTGACAATGGGGAATGTTTTACTGCGGGCACTCACAGAAAATCCTGGCCATGGGGTTGGTGGGTTAAGCTCCCCACCCCACCCAAGGACCCTGTGCAGGTTGGTGCTGGGCCTGCTGGGCCTCTCCTGCCCTTTAAGAATCAGATCTAGAACAAAGGCCCAGGCAGAAGTTGGACTTTGCTTTCTGCAGAACTGTGTTTTATCATCAAAACTGGCCAGAGACAAATGCTCCTCCAAAGGTGTCTTGCTTTCCATCCATAATTCCCCGTTTGACCGCGTGGGGGTTTTACGGGGCGTGGAGCGTCTTCTGTGCCGAAACCCATCTGAACGCTAACAAACGCCGTCTCGCTCTGGCGTTTTAGGGCACGTAGGGGCGCCGCTGCCTTGCAACCATATCAAGCTCGTCGATGTCGAAGAACTGAACTATTGGGCCTGCAAAGGAGAGGGAGAGGTAAGCTTGGGGTCGAGCCGTTCCTGTCTGTGGGTGCCGCGGACAAAGATGGGGGAGTGGAATTGTTTTCCCTCCACCTGCGAATAAAATTGTTTTAAATTACTGATGAATTTGACTCAACTAAATTCAGCGTCTCCTCTCCCGTGTGTGAGGCAGCCGACCCCCCACGCTGGGACTGGGCTGCTGTAAACCAACATTCGGAATTCCTAAACTTAAAAAAAATCCATGTTTTCCCGTAACCGTCATGATCTGCTGCTGTCTGACCCGTCCCAGGAGAAGCACGACCCTGTGCTAATAGACCAGACGGGGCAGACAGAGACAGCCGGTACCCGCTCGTTCCCTGGGAGTGAGCGGGAAAGCTGCCTGCCTGGCGGCGAAGCCAGGGACTCACGCATCTCTGGTGGAATCAACCAGCCATCAGTGTCCGTGAGGACACGCTGTCGAGTGTGTCACAAAGAGCGTGTGGCCAAGGCCGGGGGACTCCCGAGGAAGAGGAGATGGCCGCTGTGTGGGGTGGCCAGGGCAGGGAGGAGAGGTGGGGAGGATGCTGCTTTAGAGCAGATAGGAGACAGGTCTGATGGCTGGTGGCTGTTCCCTGTCCTCTGTTTCCATCACGCCATCCCTGCTGTGGCTTTCCTAATGCGTAGTGTACCTCGTTCCCCACATGCCTGGGGACAGCTCCGTCCCTGCATTCCTTATGTCGTGGCTGAGAGAAGCCGTGGTTTTGTCCCCGCAGATATGTGTGAGAGGCCCAAATGTATTCAAGGGCTACCTGAAAGATCCGGACAGGACAAACGAGGCCCTGGACGGCGATGGCTGGCTTCACACCGGAGACATCGGGAAGTGGCTGCCGGTGAGTGTTTGGAGCTGTGGGAGGGCATGTGACCTGGTCCACTGAGGCAGGAGTCTTCCCCGCGTCTTCCCTGACAGTCAGTCACTCAGGAGCACCTCTGTGGACGGGGCGGCTCTCCCTTACCTGGACCAGAGCTCCCTTCTCCCTCCGGGTCTCGTGAAGGTGAAGAGGCACCTGTGCAGGGGTGTAGCTGGGCTCTCGGAGACGGATGCCCTGTGCTGAACGGTGTCCAGAAAGGGGTCCGACTGAGTGGGATCCCCCAGTGGAGTAGAAGGAGCCAGGGCACCTGTCTCTGGGAGGTCTGAGAAGGGCAGGGCCTGCAAGCCCACAGACACCGGCCCCCAGCTGAGAGGGGGCGCCGAGCAGTGGGGAAAGCTTGGGGCTGGCCGGGAGGATGCCTGAGTTCCTTTGGCTCCACCAGCTCTTGCAACCTTGAGCAAAGCTTCATCCCTCTCTCGGGCTTGACCTCAGCTTAGTCGTAGAACCAGAGAGCAAGCCTGCGTGGCATTCTTTGGCCACGGCCCCTCCCTTTTAGCCCAAACCAGTTTGCCTCAGTCTCTCATTTTTAAAAAGGGGATAATAACGTTGCTCACCTCTGTAGTTATTGTTGTGAGGAAGAAATGAGATTATAGCTGTAAAGCACTCAGCACAGTGCATGGCGCCTAGAAGACACTTAGATGAATGCTTTGACCGGAAAAAGGCTCTGTCGCTGACACCGAGAGTGATGCGGCCCACCCCAGGAACCCCCTCTGTCTCCGGGAAGTTGCTAAGGTTCGGGGTAGACATTTCGAGGTGCTAGGCTTACCCGGCACGTGAACGACGAGCCATCCGGGGGCCCATGGCCTGGCGAGCGGGCGCACCCCTGCTCGGATCTGTGTGCTTCCCCCCGAGACGCCTTCCTGTCTGCAGCAGACGCAGGTGTATCCCCAGGACCAGCCCTGTGCCAGGACCCTACTGAGGGAAGACGCACGTTCTCAGACGGTTCCCCAGCCGGTGTGACGGGCTCGAGCTGGGGCACACGCACCCAGGGAGAGGCAGAGGAGGACAGGCACCTCTGACCCAAGTCTCAGGGTCCGAGTCCTGTTCCAGAGGGAGAGGAGAGTGGGAAGGAGGGTCAGGGGAGCGTAACGCCGTGTGCTGAGTAGAGGCACTGGAGGCGTGAGGCAGCCAGTCTCCCCCGAAGGCTCATGAGTACGGGGGAGAGGCCAGAGAGGCCAGCGGGCTCTGGACACCGGCCGAGGGCGGGTCACCCTGTCAGCTCAGGGCCCGTCGCTTGCATCGGCCCCTTCCAAGGCCTTGCCCATCATTTCGTATTATCTTTCTTGACGAGGACCCTCAAATTTATAAAAGCCGGAAGCCCCACAGAACCCTGGATCTGCTGCTGATGCCTTGTAACTTGGATAAAACTACCCACCGTGCGGTGGGTGTGAAGAGCAAATACATCGATTCACGTGAAGCCGCAGTCCCCAGCCTTTCTGGCATCAGGGCCCCGTTTCATGGAAGACAGTTTTTCCGTGGGCCAGGGTGAGGGGTGTGGTTTCAGGGTAATTCGAGCACATCACATTTACCGTGCAGTGCTGTGCAGTGCATCTCTGCTCGTGACGACCTGCATGTGTAGCCGCTCCCCAGCGCGGGCATCACCCAGCTCCACCTCGGGTCATCAGGCGTTAGGTTCTCACGAGGAGCCACAGCCTGGGTCCCGCGCATGCGCAGTTCACAGCAAGGCTCACGCTCCTATGAGACTCTGTCGCCCCCGCGGATCTGACCGGAGGTGGAGCTAATGCCCGGTGCGAGCGAGGGAGCGGCTGCAAACACAGAAGAAGCTTCGCTCCTTAGCCTGCTGCTCTCCTCCTGCTGTGCAGCCACAGACCGGTACTCGTGCCAGTCCGCGGCAGGGGTTGGGGACCAACATGGAAAGCACCTAGTGTTGTGCTTAAGCACAGAGCCTAAGACAGTCCATTTTTTAAGTTATTGTTATTTTTAAATGACTGTTGAAATTTAATTAGAATTGTGGCAGCTGTTGAGACAAATACTTATTCTTTCTATATTTCTTGTGTAAAGCAAATCATGCCGTCTTGGCATAATTCAACTTAACTATGATGTGATTTTTTTAATATTAATATTAGTTTTCTAAAAATTGTATTTGGCCTTCCCATTTATATTCGTAAGTGAGATCTGTAATTTTCGTTTTATATACAACTCTATTATGGTTTTGGTGTCAGCATATTGAATGAGTTGGTGAGTGGGTTTTTTTTCTTCTTCCTGTTTTCTGGAAGAGTGTGTGCAAGGTTTGAATGATCCATTCTTGACACTTAGGTAGAACTTGTCAATAAGGACATTTGCACTTTAAAAATTTATTTTGATTTTGAAATAGTATTAGATACATCAAGGAAAAGGCATCGTCTTCTAATCCAGAAGGACCCAGGTTCAAATCCTGGTTCCCCTACCTCCTAGCTGTGTGGCTTTGAAGGAGTTAACTGGCCTTTCTGATCCTCGTTTTCCTCATCTGTGAAACAGGGGTGACAACATCCAGCTCGTGGGGTGCCATGAGGACCACGAAGCTAGTACAGGGAAAGTGCCTGGTGTCCAGCCTGGGTTCTGAGCAGAGCAGTGTCTGCTCGTTTCTGTCCTCTGGAGAGACGCTCTGGCTCCAGTGGATGGAGCAGATGGATAGTCAGGAAGTGGTTTTGATGGGAGGAGGAGGTGGAGGTGAGCGGGATTTATGAGCAAGGATGGGGGATCCTGCTTGCTAGAGATCCCAGGGGAGGCAGAGAGCAAGGCCGTCCCCAGGTGTGGGGATCAGGGGTAGGGTGGGCTCGAGGAGGATGGTCATGAGCTTCATTTGGGGTGTGTCACATCCTGAGAGACAAACATCCTGGGTTTTGACCCATTTGGAGGGTAGCTGGGTTCTGGGTCTGGAGCTCAGGGAAGAGCCAGAAGCTCAGACAGACATAGGAGTGGCCAATGGAGCGAGAACGGGGGTTACCTCGAGGTGCATTGTCAGTGGAGGTGAGGCAAGTACAACATTCAGGGGTTGAGCCAAAGGAGAGACGTCCCCCTAATCACCTTGGAAACTCAGGAAGGTCAGGAGAGTCAGGGAGGTGTCCACGGGTCCTGGAGGCTGGTGGCACCAGCGCTCACTCCAGGGGTGGGGTCCTGCAGGGTCCTGGGCACCTAGCGCCATCTGGCTGTCAGGTAGGAGTTGTGGGGGCCTCTGCCGGATCTTTGCTGTATGCCAGGGGATAGAGAGGCTGCTCTTTGGGGGCGAAGGCAGTAGCTGGGCCAGAGGCCTGAGTGTGTGAATGCGAAGATGCTGGTGAGAAAAAGGACAACTGGAGCAGGGGCCTGGGTGAAAGCAGAGCCCTGTGGAAGGAGGTGGGCTCTGAGGAGGAGCAGGTGAGGACACCTGTTGCCAGGTGTGAGGGTGGCAGGGGGATAACTGCTAAGGGGGAGGACAGTGGGCGCCCAGGGCCCAGCAGAGCTTGGGCGCCTCGACCTGTGGTGCACGGCAGCTCTCTCCAGCTGCACAGGTAAGAGCAGAGACAACAGACGAAGAGCAAGTGGGGCGGGTGGGGCAGGGTGGGCTGTGGTGGGGAGCGCAGGAGCGAAGGGCTGTGGCCCCCGAGGAGTGAGGGCTCAGGCCTGGGAGTGCCACCTTCTTATGAAGCTGTTTGTTCAACTCCACAGACAGGAACTCTTAAAATTATCGACCGGAAAAAGCACATATTTAAACTCGCTCAGGGAGAATACGTTGCACCCGAGAAGATCGAGAACATCTACATCCGGAGCCAGCCTGTGGCGCAGATCTACGTCCACGGGGACAGCCTGAAGGTGAGCGCCCGGCTTCGGCCGTCCACATGTACCGGGCCTGCTGAAAAATCCAGATTGAATATTATTAATCTCCAACCAGACACCAGGATTCTCCTTTGCATTTCAAATCATGAAAGAAAACTCCTTTTTAAAGGAGAAAATTACTTACGGTTCGATAAAATGCAGTTAGGTGAAGTAAGTTGCTGGAAGTCATGGGAATGAACATTCTCACTCCTTGGAGTTTATGTTCCACCTGCTTCCAAGAGGGATTTTTGAGATGTGACGCTAGAGCCAGATTCAGGGTTTCTGCTGTTTTGATTTTTAAATCAGTAAATGAACTTTACAGATTAATGGATACAGTCTCACAAATAATGGTGCTAGTCCTGGTATAGTTTATTAGGATTAAATTATTGGGAGGGGATTTATACTTATTTTGCTTTCAACATCATTTAGATTTGAAGTCAGAAAGATCGTGAATATATCCTACGATATCAAAGAGTGAATATATTCTATACTCTCATCGCATTTATATAATTAAATATTATTAAATTATTTTTGAAGAAGATGCTTTAAAAGTGAAAATAGAATTTTTCATGAATGTGGATTGTATTAATGAAACAATGTCAAAATGGCCTGGAAATCCTGGGAAACATGTTTTGGTTCATAGAGAATTTGGATCGTAGAGTTGTTTGATTAGCATCCTAAAGATGTTCTGATTTAAGATTGGCATGAGAATCAAAGATACATATCAGTCTAACTTTGTGGATTCTTAATACCCTTAAACTCATTTTTTATAAAGTTAGGAGAATATGTCAGAAAATGAACCATCAGGAATGTGAGACATATTGGCGGAAATGTTTCATAAGCATGTCCTTGTTCTCAAAAAAGGGTAGAGTCTGAGAATTTTGATGCTGGACCACAGATAGCCACTTTAAAAGCTTGATCATGACCGTGTTTTCCTGTGGTGGGCATTGCAGGCCTTTCTGGTGGGCATCGTGGTGCCTGACCCCGAAGTCATGCCCTCCTGGGCGCAGAAGAAAGGAATCGAAGGGACATACGCAGAACTCTGCACAAATCAGGTTCGTGTCTCGGGGCTGTTTCCTAAAATGTTGCCGAACACTTTAAGATACCACATGCTGAGGGGACAGTAAAACTGTAGACCAGTGAAATCTGAACGCATAGAGAATTTCTAACCTTATACGTGGTGAGAATCTTAAACCAGAGATCTTTTCCTTCGTTGTAAAAAAACTCATTTTTCTTCTTAGAAAGATTGATAAACTATTGGATTTTAGAGCCAAGAACGTCACAGAAAGCTCATCCAGCCCTGTCGTTTTGCGGCTTGGAGGGGAATCCAGGGAGGGAGGTAACCTGCTCAAGGCTACGCAGCTGGTTGGCAGCAGAGTCAGATGTGAGCAGAGTTTCCGACTTGCTGGCCATGGTCTTTCCAAACGTGAGGTTGATTTTGTCTCTACTGGGCCTAGAGAGACAGTCACGGAATTGAAAAAGTTACGCGATTCCTCTTGCTTAGAGCATTAGCCGTTCCCGCCTTCCTGGAACCTGATGGGCGAGCAGGGCTCTGTGGAGGAGGTCGCTGGATCTCGCCACATGGTCCACTTCTCGGCAGCGGCCGGGCCCTGGGCTCACCTGGGGCAGCAGAACTCCCCAGGCCCACCAAAGGGCTGCTTTAGAAAACACTGAGTTGTCTCTCGGCCTGTCGTCCGTGGTCACCCCTCCGGCCGTTTCCGGCACTCACCTGCCTGACCGACGACAGGGGTGGGGATTGGGTGCTGCCGGGGGTGCCAGACTCAGGTGGGGAGGGCGCGGGGAGCACAGGTGGGCGCAATCTCCCACGGCACTTTACCCAAAATGCGTTGTTTCTTCCACCTCCATTGTGAAATGTGTTCTCGTCTTGTAACTGTACTCCTGTGGTTCAATTCAGGATCTGAAGAAAGCCATTTTGGAAGACATGGTGAGGTTAGGAAAAGAAAGTGGACTCCATTCTTTTGAACAGGTAACTGTGACTGTCCCCATACTCCTTACAGCCCTTTAGGCAGTGATGAAAATTGACCTGTCGTGACCCTGACCTAGATTCCTTACCCTCTACGGTGCGGGCTGCTGGCAGCCCGGTACCAGCAGACCCGCAGGCCTGTTTCGAGCTGGCTGTGCAGGAGCCTCCTGAACCAAAGCAGGTCGTGTGTCGGTGAGGCTGTGCTCGTCCTCACGCTCACAAACGCTCATGAGGCGGAAATATCACCCGGCTGTCACTGGTAGATCATGTGTACGTGGTCTCTTTTCCAAGCTGCCTGAAATGCTGAAGACCACAGTCTTATCCTGTTTTTACTTTCATGGGGACTGTCTTCTTGGGTGCAGCAGGCAAGGTTGCTAGTTAGAAGAACATTGGAAAGCTCGGGCTCCTGGGGCCGGTGATCAGTCAGCCCAGCACGTGGTCTACAAAGGGAAGAAGCAAAGCCTGTGTTGGGAGAGGACGCAGCAGTCCTCTAAGACTCTGTCTTTGCAAGGTTGGGTACTTACTATCTCATAAGCAGACTCGGTCCTCCTCACATATGCCATCTAATAAATCCTCTTTAGTCAAAAATTCAAAGAGAAAAATTCTTCAAACGGAAAAATATTAATATCCTGACTTTTAACATGTCTTTGTATTTAAAAACATTGTTTTTATAAAATAAACATTCCATTAAAATAATTGTTTTTCATACAGTTTTGCTTCCCCAGTAATAGTGTTAGAGTCTGTAAGGTTTATGAGAATCCCTAAATTTTGTACGTCCATTTGCTGATAGCCTAAAAACATATTCAAACCAATTTTAAATATTAAGCTCTTACAGTACAATAAAAAAATTTTTAGTTTGCAATAAAAAACATTTCTACAGATTTAAAATTTTAATTTCTTAAGTTTCAAAATGAGGAAATCTAAATATAGTTTTAGGATCTAAGAGTATTGTTTTGCCTTTGAAATAGATCTTTACATCAATCCAGTCTAAGAAACGCTGCTTTACTTTCATCTGTTAGTATGTTTCAGGGCAATCAAGACCTGGATAAATAAATCTTTATTTTAATAAATTATAAAATCTGAGGCTTTCGGGCAAGTTACATTTATCTTTCTGAATGAAAGGTCATTAAATTTCCAAATATTGCTAGAACTGACTTCTTTGCCCTTCCTTAACGGGGAATGTGATTGGATACTCTGTGATCGTGTAGACCAGGGGCCACAGGTGTTTGGTCCACACCTGCTTGGTCTGGGCCCGCGTGGCAGTCTGAGGGCTGGGAGTGGACAGACTGGAGGTGGGCCTGCCTGAGCCGCTTAGCTCCTGCAGCCGTCCTGGCGCTCGCAAGGCTTGCTCGCCCCCTGCTGGTGTTGAGGTGCGTGACCTGCCCCAGGGCACCCAGCATCATGACACCCAGATTCCTCTTCATGGAAAAAGATGCCAACTCTTAAGATGATGTTTAAAAGGGACTTTTGGCTACGTTTCCAGTGTTAACCACCGCTCTGGTTGGAGCTTTTACTGAGAGAAGACGTGTTCTTGACTTTCCACATGCCTTAAGCGGAGTTTCTGCTCTAATAATCTGCCCTCGCCATGGAAACCCCAAATACTGGGAAGTCATGTGGCGTCCCGGAGGCCTTTAGTTTTATTGCCAAGGCTGTCGCCTCTTGATTTTCTCTGTTCTCACTCTCCCCTTTGTTGGTCTGCAGCATCCTCCCCCATCCCGCAGCCAGTGCGGCCCTCAGCTGACCACAGGAAAGCAGAAACCAGGCCTCGCGCCGGAGCAGGGTCTGCTCCGCGTTGTGACCCAGAGTTCAACGTCAGTCATTTCAGCTAATCCGTCATCCATTACCAGTTTTTCCTTTTCCCTCTTCTTCAAAAACGAGAGGTCAATTGAGCCTCTAATCACACACACAAATAGATACCCAAGCCCAAAGTTTAAATCATCCAACAAGTTTTAGGAGTTCATGCTTACTAGACCGGGTTGATCCGAATTAAACTTTGAATTAGAAAAAAATAGACGTAATTTAATTTCCACAAATTGGAAAATTGGTATTTTATTCCAATGCTGTATTTAAATGTTACAGTATTTTTTTAAAAAAAAAACCCTATAGAATCTC